GATAGATAGATAGATAGATAGATAGATAGATAGATAGATAGATAGATAGATAGATAGATAGATAGATAGATAGATAGATAGATAGATAGATAGATAGATAGATAGATAGATAGATAGATAGATAGATAGATAGATAGATAGATAGATAGATAGATAGATAGATAGATAGATCTGTTTGTTGTTGTTGTGATGTTTGGATGGAGGAGTGTCAACAACAATCTGTCATACTCTGCTGACTCACAAACTACATGTCTCCACCTGAGGTGGTGTTCCACCTCCAACCTCCAGATGATCATCGTTCTTCTTTCATCACAGCAGCGAGTCACGGATCAGTCACGGAGCTCACCTGTCATAGCTCCACCTGCTGTACGACATGCTCCTGCTGCCGCCGACTCCCTCCATGTTTCCGGGGACCTGGACCCACTAGACCGACTGGACCCACTGGACCGACTGGACGGACTGGACGGACTGGACCCACTGGAGCGGGCGCTGACCAGACGGCTCCTGTCTCTGGGACCAGTCAAGTCCTGGAAGCGCTTCCAGCGCACGAGCAGCTCGAGCTCAGCCTGACGCTCTTCTGTGGAAGATACCACCTCAGAGAGGGGCGCGCGCGCGAGCTGTCACGGTGCGCGCGCCGCCGCCGTCGAGTTAATTCATTGAGCCTCTACACGAAAGACATCAGTCGAGCCGTGCACGCTTTCCGGGTCGCGGCCACTGCGCCGTAAAACACCAAGCGTGTGTTCAGATGATCCGCGTGTACAGTGATTGATTGTTATAGTGATTCAGATTTGTTGTTACCTGCACAAGTTCAAATGGAGACTTTGAACAACTTTCTTATTTTTATTGGATGCAATAATCCTGTGTGTTGCTTTAACGTGACTTGCAACATCTGGCCAAGAATATTAGATGGAAATTCAACTTTGGTACATTTATATTAATCTGATTTTCATAAACTCACGAAAACTCACATGAAACGTTTGGCACTTGTTTTATGAGCCTTTGAGCTCAGCCCTGCAGGCTCAGGGGCCACTGCAGCCCTGCTCGTTAACATCTTTACTAAATAAACTAATAAACCAAACTAACGCGTGTGACTGCGCAATGTTCGGGCACAGTTGCGCACAGAAGCACTCCCAAAGTCTTGTGGAAAGTTTTCCAAGAAGCCAAAAGCTGTTGCAACTTTAGAGTTTAAAAAGCATCCATCCAAAGGAAGAGCAGGTAAGGTGGAATGAATGAAGAGGAGTCTGCAGTGATTAGTGACAGGATGGTTCCAAGAATGAAAGGGAAGATTTACACACAAGACCCATGATGATGATGAAGATGATGATTTGGAAGTGCTGGCACAAACAAAACGACAGGAGCTGGAGTTGGCAGAGATTAAAAGATGTTCAGGTTTTTACTGGGAGGGACCAAACTTGGCAGCGTTAGAAATGAGGAGCAGTAGAAACAGAATACCAGACGATGATGATGCTGTCATGGAAGAGGAAAACACAAAGAAGGTCCATGGATGAAGGATGAGAAGATGCAGAGGGTTGAGGTTAGGACAGAGTGAGACGGAGACTGATGATCTGTTGTTGCAACCCCTACCGGAAGTAAAGTTAATATAGAATATAGTGATGTATACATATTTTGTTAACCTGTTGAGTTTCAATACAAAATCAGAAAAGTAGCCTTACTGGCATTTTGTTACTCAAACACAAAATTAGAATTGAAAGAAAATGGAAAAGACTTCAAATAAAATTATTTTATCTAATTAAAGTCCAGCTAATATTTATATTTGTACACAACTAGAGGAAAAAAAGCATTAAAATGTCTTAGATATTTCCCAAAACTATCAAAAAACTATTTTATTTTTTCATAAATGGGTTGAAATTGTAAAGCTGGAAAAAACCTGGATGACTGGAACTTTAAAAATCAGTTTTATTCCTCATCTATTCCAATTTTTTTTAAATATTCTAGGTTATATATTTTACTCTTAAAATGCAGCATAAATAAAGGATTTCTTATGTTCATTATAAAATAAATCTGAAGAAAATAAAACTAATCTGGCTCAACGACAGATTTTATTTTAGCAACCAAAGCTAGACACAGGGCAAGACACGTACTGGGAACAAAGGGAACAGGATGTTGTAGATGAACACTTGATTTTCAAAACAGAGGGCATTTAAAATCTTAGTATCATTATTCTAGTTTTTATGGAACCCAGAATCATTCCTAAAAGCTGTTCCTTCATGACCTGCCTGCAAAAACCTCAAGAAAAAACACATTTTCATTTTCCAACGCAGAAAAAAAAAATCATCCACCAAGACAAGAATCAGGTTATTTAAAATTTGGGCAGCAACAATCTTCAGCTTAAAATTATCAGAAGAATTAAATAGTCTTTTTTTTTTTTTTTTTACATATCGACAGAGCCACGCTGTGAATGTGAACACGTACTCACTTATAAACATATAAAAATACTTATCGACTAGTTGGATAAGAAAATAATGTATAAAAGTAGAGTAGAAACATTTAATCAAGTCCATTTTTTCCATGATCCAGTTTCTCGTCTATAATACAAGACGGTGATATGAATAAAATAAAAACCTGCAGTGCTTCAGAACAGAAGTACAGAAGTTGACGGGGATGGTTGTGTCAAAGTGAAGGGAAAGTACTCAGGTAGTTGGTCCGGTGGCATCTCCTTTCACCAGATATGAACTTGCACTTTTCATCTCGAGGCTTCTGCTCGTCCTGGCTTTTCAACCAGCAGATGAAGCGCGACAGAAATCTGAGTTACACGTTGAGTCACGGACACAAAACAAACGCATCGCCACTGTGTCACTGCGGGAACAGCTAAAGATGGAGTTTAGAGACTAAATCTGAACGGATGCTCTGAATGAAACGCTCTTGACAACACCGTTCATGTGTTGGTTTTTAAAGCTACACAAAGTGCTACCGCTGCTTTAATCTCTGCTGCTTCGAAAACAAAATGATGTCCGTCACGGAGGCTCCACCTTCGAGGAGAAAACGAAACAAAAAAACCTACTGGACTTCTTCTTTCTGTATTTTTGAGATGGAGCAGGAATACAATCGTTTCTTTATGTAAGACTTAAAAACCAAACACTGTAGACACTTCATGTGTGGCGACTAAAAGAGCGGAGAACCAAAGAACCTTCTGCAGTGTGGCGGTGCTTCATTAAGGGATGTCCAGCAATTATATTTATATACATACATATTCATTTTCTTAGACGTAAAACCCCACTCCACCTCACACACTGCGCCGTGGTGATTCAACAGGTCGTTACAAATACACTTCGTAAATCACTACAAACGTCACATATGTACAGAAGCAGATTAGCACATGGGGTGAAGGTGGAATATGGCACGACATACACAAAGCTTCATATTAGATAATCTCTCTGCTCTGGTCAGACACTGGAAACTAAAAGTCATTAACATTCTGGAGCTATATATATTTATATTTATATATTTCATTCAATCTTGGTAGCAAGTACAAATGTCACTACAAGGCAAGAGAAGTCCTTCAGAGTACAAAACAACATTTTTGTCAGGCAGATTTAGAAGGCAATGTTTTAGTGTTGGTAGTCTCTTGTATGGATTAAGATTACAGCTGAAGGTGTTGGTAGTCTCTTGTATGGATTAAGATTACAGCTGAAGGTAGAATGGTGATCAAATTTGGCGTTGTCAGTTGTCCGTAGAATGTCCTGGAAACAGCAGCTCCTGGTCAACAGATCTCAGAAAAAGGCCGTCTGAAGTCATGCGCATGAAGAAGGCAGCGGTCAGTCATCCACAAGGGATGTGATGTCAGGCAGAGTGGGCGGGGCTTAGAGTAGCTGCATGAGTTACAGTGATAAGGCAAAAATCAGACGATCACACAATGGCAGCCGCTCTTGTCCTTCTCTTTTCTCATGGGCTCTGGTGAAGGTGGACATTCTTGCTCTTGGAATTTCCTTGAAAACAAAAGAAAGCATGAACTTCAGTACGAGGTAGATGACCTAAACAATGGGCCTTTGTTAACACTGAATATTAAAGCAAGCCTAAACTCAACCCTCTGAAGTTCAAACACAGAAACTAAACTTGTTAGTTTAGCCCTTACAGCTCATTTAAACAAGGTTATATTTCTTGTGCTAAGTGAATCAGTAAAAAGCATTTGTCTTTTATTGTGTGATAGAGTGAATAAAAACTGAACAGAAGCGATCTGTTCGTTTTACAAAAACATGCTAAAACAGCATGGACAGATTTGTTACCTTTAAAAGAAACGTATTAATCTTTGCAGTACAGTACAGTCGTGTGTTTCACAGGCTTTTCATCAGACGTTCAGTCTATTTAAAGGGACCAAACGAGCACTGGGTAGTTTGGTATCGTGTGACTACACTGAATACGCTGTGGTCACACGAGCAGAGCTGTCTGAGGAGCTCAGAAACAAGACTAATGTATTTTCCGCCCTATAAGTCATGTTTTGCCTAATTTACATGCCCTGCAACTTATGGGCCGAAGCGACGTATTTATGGATTTATTTCCCATTTTCATAAACCATTTTTTGGCTGAGATATGACGTTTTCAATCATTCTGACTGAAAAAAGAGCAGTACCACTTTCAGCCACTTGATGGCAGCAGAGTAGTAGTAGCTGTATGGCATGCTGTTGTATCATGTAATATGTAAACGAGGCTATAATGACCATTTTTAAAAAGTTCAAGACAAAAACAAATAGACTTTATTTATTATACTTTATTTTAAACTTTATTGTTTTTTTTCTTGAACTTTTTTGAAATGACCGTATCCTGGATGACTGAGAATCTTAACCGGTTATTAATGGCGCAATCGGCCTGCCATATAACCCCCACCTTCGTTCTGCTTGCTGCTTTGATGAAGTTAAACCAGCTGCACCGCCTCGGCAAAATGCAGCTAATTTGATCATTAAAGTGCATTTCTTAAGTAAATGTTAGACTGAGACACACATTTACTATAATTTCGAGCAAACCAATAATTGTTTTTAAGTGTTAATCTTGTTAAATTCTTCTTAAAGTGCTCATGTGCACGCTCCCGCAGCCGCCATTTGGCAGCCAATCGACTTTTGGCACAACACCGGCCCACATTTCCGGGTTGTCAGCGGTGACGCATAATAGATGTGACGTGTACGGTGAAGTGACATATTTATGGATTTTTCCACTTTATTAGACAAATATGGACTGATGCGACGTGTATGGCAGAAAATACGGTATGCATTTCTTGTAAAAGAGGATTGACCAAAGAGCTGTCTATGGGAGAAAAGCAAAGCATGTTGAAGCTGAGAAAAGACGGAAAACCAATCAGAGCCTTTGGACGAACATTGGGCGTGGCAAGCACAACAACTTGGAATGTCCTGAAAAAGAAAAACTGCAGGTGCACTGAGCAACAGACGTCAAACAGGTCGGTCAAGGAAAACAACAGATATTTTGGGAGCGCTGTGAAGAAAACCCCAAAACATCAGTAACTTCCATCACCAACGACCTCCGCAGTGCCGGGGTGGAGGCACCATCCACCGTTCAAAGAAGACCAAGAGCAGAAATACAGAGGCCGTTCCACAAGATGCAAACCAGTCATCAGCAGTAAGAATCAAATGGCCTGACTGGAAATTACTAAGTGCAGAGATGAGACGCAGCGCAAAAGGTTTGGAACACCATCTTATGGACTGGGACCAAGATTTGTCTCCACCAAAGTGATGGAAAGGCCAAAGTGTGGAGAAGAAGGGAACAGCTCATGATCCAAAGTCTGTGAAGCACGGTGGAGGTAATGTCATGGCTTGGGCTGCTTCTGGAACAGGCGCGTTAATATTTATTGATGATGTAACGGATGATGGTAGCAGCAGAACGAATTCTGAAGTGCACAGAAACATTTTGAAGGAGAAATGCATCCGAACCAACTGGGAGGAGGTTTATCATGCAGCAGGACAATGACCCCAAGCACACCGTCAACTTAAAGGACTTCATCAGAGACAAAAGACTGGCCAAGTCAATCACCTGACCTTAACCCAGCAGAGAAGGATTTCACCTCCTGAAGAGGAGACTGAAGGAAGAACCCCCTGAATCCAACAAGAACTGAAAGAAGCTGTGGGGAAAGACTGGGATAACATCACTAATGAAGAATGCAACAGTTCGGTGACGTCCATGGGTCGCAGGCTGATTTACTTTAAGATTATGTCTTCCTTTACTTTTGCTCACCTAAAAATGATGTTCCAGTACTTTTGGAGGGGACTGAACATGTTGGCAAGCCCCAGTTTCTGGGAAAACTTCTTGGATTTCCTGACGCTGCTCAATAATCCAGGTAGAAAATGTAACAAAGTGAAGTCAGGTCCTCTGGACAGATTCTTCTTGTTGAAATGTTTCGTCCTTTACACTAAAGACTTGGTCAGTCTGAGGAGCTGCAATAAACTCAGTCCACCTTCTCATAGTGAATCAAGCAAAGGATCCTCCTTTGCTCCTCCTCTCTCAGACCAATTTGAGAGAGGAGTGAAGGAAACCATCTTTGTGAAGAGAACCCGTCCATCATCAAACATGGCGGAGCCTCCATGTCCTACAATGCTGTTACTGCTAGAATCACTCAGCCCCCTGAACAGCAAGTGGCCATCAGGGCACTAACGGTCAACTGTTAGGCTGTGGAAGTGTACCAACAAACAAATCTGCATCTGTATTAACATTTTGAGAACAAACAAATAAAAACAACAACAAAAACACAGTTTGTGTTGCAGCAAACTTACCTGATTACCCTAACCAGCTCGTGGAAAGCTTGATCTACGTTCATTCGAATTTTGGCTGAAGCCTCCATATAGGTGACCTTTAACTGTCTGGCCAGCTGCTGGCCCTCCTCCTGGGTTACCTGAGCAGGAGGAGGGAGAAAACATCGTGTGAACATTTCATTAGGACGCACAAACAAAAGCAACTCATTTAACTTCAAGAAACCAACAACGTGCTGGTGAAGCATCACCTTTGACGGTTGTGGGTTTATACAGAATTATATATCGGCAGTGATTAATGCTGATATTTAACAAACAGTGCCGCCAATAGCTAAGTTATGAAGTTGGTTTATTGTGTTGGACCTATAAAATTAAAAGTAAAAATTTCATATACATTGATATTTAGTCGATTTAAAAAGAAACAAATTAAAAACTGTGATTTGGTGATTGGGCAGCACGGTGACGCAACTGGTAGAGCTGCTGCCTCTCAGCGAGCAGGTCCCCGGTTCAAACCCCGGTCCAGGGGCCTTTCTGGGTGGAGTTTGCATGTTCTCTCCGTGCATGCGTGAGTTTTCTCCGGGTACTCCGGTTTCCTCCCACAGTCCAAAAACATGCATGTTAGACTGATTGGTAACTCTAAATTGTCCCTAGGTGTGAGTGAGAGAGTGAATGGTTGTTTGTCTCGTTTGTCTCTATGTGTCCCTGTGATGGACTGGAGACCCATCCAGGGTGTCCCCCGCCCCTCGCACAGTGATTGCTGGACATGGGCACCAGTGACCCCCGTGACCCAAAGTGGAATAAGCGGGTAAAGAAAATGGATGGATGGATGGATGGATTTGGTGATTCAGCCCCGGGGTTCAGCCGAGTACACGCTCCTACCTGTGTCACAGTTAACTGAAGGTTGGCTACGACAAATAACCCTGCTGCAGCAAAATACGGCCATCTGATCAATCTGTCTACTGCCGCGGTGAAAAACAAACCCCAACATTTAAAGCAGTTTTAAGAAAAATTGCACACAAGCAAAAACTTGACTTTTTTCTCATAATTTAAGTCCATGAAGTTTGTTGTGTGTTTTTACCAAGACATCTTCTGGTCCAGCCTGGCCTGACAAAGTAGTCCCTCGCTACTTTACGGTTCATTTGTCACGGACTCGCTCTACCGCGGTTTTTCAAAATAAGACTGGACATGACACACAATCCGCTGATTGATGGATGAGCCGCACGATCGGCATGAAATTTTTATTTAAAATAAATTATTTTAAATTATTTAGCACCTGCTGCACCTTTGTGCAGCCCACACTGCAGGAGAAACTTCCTCCTGCGGCTCCTACACGCACCTCCTCTGTGATCTCCTTCTGCAGAGGAGAAGTGGGCGTGGCTAAGAGCTGAGTTCATGACATCCTGTGCTCTTTCAGAGCGTTTAGGGTTTAGAATAGTGCAAGAGTGTGGGAAGGATTTAAAATGCCTATATATATATATATATATATATATATATATATATATATATATAAACTATTACTTACTACTTGTACTACTATTCCAACTTTGCGGTCTTTCACTTATCTTCTGGTCTTCAGGGTACGGATCCCCCACGATAAACGAGGGACTACTGCATGTACCTGTATATAAATACTAAAATAAACTACTACTTACTACTACTACTACTACTACATGTGTACATAATTTTGTTCTAAGTACCACATGAGATGGTAATGACAATAATGTTTACTTGAACTTGTACTACTATTCCTACTTTGCAGTTTTTCACTTATTGCTGGGGTGGAACCGAACACCCGTGATAAACGAGGGACGACTGTATTATTATTCATAAATTCTGCTTCATGTATTTTTACTGTAGTTTATTGTTGTCATCGTCTACTGTTTTGTTGTCTGTACTTTACATGTGCTGTCTGGAACAGGTCCCTCTTGTAAATGAGGCTAGCCTGTATTAATAAAGGTTGAATGAAAATATTATTTAAAGCACTGCAGGACAGTATTATTAAACTAAAACTCCAGAAAACTAATTATCATGTAGCATGCATCCAATCTGCAGACATTTGCATTCAACCTTAACATGACAAAACCTGTGCAATATATTTGAATAAAATAAAATAAAATAATAATTTAGTCCAAAATTAGATGAAAAATTAGAATCAGAACATGGATGTTAGAAGTTTGAGTAAATATAATGAGTGTTGAGCTACATACATTAAAGCTGTTTCTACGGCCTCTGTGGAGTTTGCATGATCTCCCACACACTAAAAGCACGCGTGCTGGGTTAACTGGTCACGTTAAATTGTCTCTAGGTGCAAGTGTGAATGGCTGGTTGTCCCAGTGCTTGACTTTCACAAAATGAGGTCTGGAGATAAGCTCCCCATGGAAAACGTGGGTAAAGAAAATGGATGAATTGATTATCGGGTAAAAACAGTTTTTATAAAAACTTTGTATCTGAAGGCAAGAGTCCGTGTTGTCACCACTAGGGGGCAGTGTGGCTTCACTGCAGGAACTGAGTGACTGAGGATCAGCAGCAGAAGATTCATCTTCCCCATCCCCTCCTGACAGCACAGTTTATACAGACTCTCCTGTTCGTTCAGTCACATCCTGTTGTACGTTAGCATCGACTGCAGCTGCAACTCTTTCACTGTAAAGCGTGCGCATGTGAGTCCCTCCAGACGGCCCGCCGTCTCTCCGGATGATAAAGGCACGTTTGTCAGCGGGTGCAGCTCTGTGCTGCTGGACTTACTTGTCTCTGTAGCTCCAGATCTGCTTTGTTTCCTACGAGGATCATCGGGAATTCGTCTCTGTCTTTGACTCGGAGAATCTGCCTTTGGAATTTATAGATTTCTTCAAAGCTGCAAAACGAGATCAAATGGAGTTGACATCTACCGAACGAAACGACATGCACATGCATCATCACCATCATCATCATCAAACGCTGCAGCGAGGAGGAAAACCTCCGTGCTTACACAATCACCACACTGAAGTTAAGGTCACCAAGCATGTTAGTCCAAAAAAAAAGCTTCCAAATCATTTGTTCATCCTTTGACCGGCTCGCTGCCTCACCTTAATACAGAGGGCATGATGTGACGGGACGTTTTCAACCGAACGGCAAATAAAAACATCACGTGTGTGGAGAAGAAGCAGCAAAGAGGCAGAATGTGACCACTAACCCAGGACGGCACATTCCAGCCACGGTGAGCACAGAGTAAACCTGGAAGGCTTGACCCACGTAAACGGAGGAAGGAGAGACCGTTTACGACATAAACAATAGGAGGGGGCTGTGGGGGGGAACCAGGGAATGCTGTTTGTTGAGCGGGGACACAACACCACGGAGGACAGTGTTGCCAGATTGGGCGGTTTTCATTCTGATGTTGTGGGTAAAAATTGCTTTGGGCAGGTGCGAATAATTTGGGTGGATTTAGAGTCATATCGACGGTTTTTGAGTTAACCTCTTTAAAAAACATTTCAAACAATAATTCATCCTAATGTGGTTCAAAGCTCCCCTGACCTTTCTCCATCACTGATTGGCATCACGTTGTCATCTCTGCCAGGGCGTTCACAACAGAGAACTGGCGAGGCAGTTGGTGGACACCTCGTTGAGGGGTTGGCCCGTTGCGGCGGTACGTCGGAGCGGCCGCCATATTGGATGTGGCAGTACTGCCGGTCAACCAATAAAGGAAATGCACTGAACTTTATAAAGCACCGTTGTACAAAGTGTTTTATGTTAACGCCTGTCATTCACACACACTCATATATGTGGAAAACAAACAGGCGCCAAAGACGACATTTATAACTTTTAAAGTGATTATTAAAAAAGTTTACTCCTGAAATATTTAGGTTAAAGGTAAACACTAAGCCAACATGTGTATTCTTTTGAGTGTTCACAACTAATAATGTGTTTAACACTGTTACTGTGGTGATAAATATAGAAATATTCATATTGAACATTTAATCTGTGTTTGTAATAACCAGATCCTGTTGATTCTCTGAATAAAGAACACGAACATCCTGATCCATGCTCAATAATCCAGGTAGAAAAATCTAAAAAAAATTAAGTTAGGTCCTCTGGACGTTCAAAAAATAAACATAAATAAAATTTAAAAATAAACAGTAAATATCACAATATATTGATTGGGCAGGTTTGGTGTGATGGGGCGGTTTTTAACAGATATGTGGGCTGGAAAACCTCGACTTTATCTGGCAACACTGATGGAGGGCAAAGACAGGCAGGCTGCTCAGTTCAAAAGATGATTTAAGCTCAAACATCTTGGAGAAGTAAAAAAAAAGGCAACTTTTAAAATACAAGATTACTTTTCCATGTGACACAGTAATTGTGCTATGAAACATAATATCCTGTTGCATGAACCTGAGCTGCGAGCAGCTGGTTTAGTGGTTTTGCCTGCGCTCCACGGCGGTGGCGTAAACAGACACACCGGCGGCACATCTGTTGCACTTGCAACAAAGCAGCAGGTGGAAGAAGTTATGCTTTCATTTTAAAACCCACGGTTGCCATGGCTACCACCGGCGTCACCGCATCATCCAGGAGTAAAGAAAAGCGACAAGTTTCACAAGGATTTGCTTTGCGTCTCTGATGACCTGGTTTCAATACGAGCCGTGTTCAGCTGCTGCAGCGTTCAGCTGCACCGAGTGACGGAGCGGGCCTGACGGGGCACGACCGTCTGAGCCCGACACTGTTGAGAGTATATACATGCATTCATGTTGTCAGTGCACACACACTCAAATTAAACGTGAGCCCGGCAGGGAGGAAGTGCTGCAAACAAAAGAAGACGAGAACAAGAAAAGGTCCGGAAGAGGCAACAAGACGATTTATGGTTGTAGTAGAAGCTGAAGAGGAGAGTGAGAGTGCTGCTGTGAGCGGTGAACACACTTCTACGACGAGAATGGGAGGCGTGCATGTGTGTGTGCACGGTGGAAACTGTCGCTTACCTTCCTCTGTCAGTGACTGAGAAGACGAGCAGGAAGCCCTCCCCGGTCCTCATGTATTGTTCTCTCATGGCTCCAAACTCTTCCTGTCCAGCCGTGTCGAGGACTGCACAACATCAACACGTGCGTTGGTACAAACACACACACACACACACACACACACTCGTTGACTTGCAGCAAAAATAAACTTCTTCAGACCAACTCCTGAGGAGAAATGCTGCGCAGCCGACGCGTGCTTTTATTTACGCTCGTCGAGTTTGTTCATAAAACTGCACTCACTGTCGAGCCTGGCCGGCCGCTCGTCGATCACACACTGCTTGGTGTAAGAGTCTTCGATGGTGGGGTCATAGTCGGTGACGAAGTACGACTGAAAGAGACGGCGAACATTTAAAATCAGCTCATTCATCTTTTAAAGCACAACGGAACTTTAAATAACACAAAGTATGACGTAGTTTTCTCGGAAACAAAACCTCATTTTTAGAGTTTTTCTGCGACAAACAATTTATAAACCAACGGAACTTTGTCCTGTGGCAGAAACTGTTTCCTCTTTATTCTCCACAGCAACGTTAATTTAAAGGATTCAAAAACAAAAAAGGAAGAAGCGGGTAAAGATAACGGATGGATGGATGGATGGATGGATGGATGGATGGATGGATGGATGGATGGATGGATGGATGGATGGATGGATGGATGGATGGATGGATGGACGGATGGATTCAAAAAGCAAAGAGTGAATTGAAACACCATTATACATTTTATCATATTTTTCTTGTATGGCTGTAAATATGACGGCACGGTGGTGCAGTTGGTAGAGCTGCTGCCTCTCAGCGAGCAGGTCGCCCTGGTTCAAATCCCGGCCGGAGATCTTTCTGGGTGGAGTTTACATGTTCTCTCCGTGCTGAGTGGGTTTTCTCCTGGTACTCTAGTTTCCTCCCACAGTCTAAAAACATGCATGTTAGACTGATTGGTAACTCTAAATGTCCCTAGGAGAGAGAGAGAATGGTTGTTTGTCTCTGTGTGTCCCTGTGATGGACTGGAGACATGTCCAGGGTGTCCCCCGCCTCTCGCATATTGACAGATGGATATGGGCACCAGAGACCCCCGCGACCCAAAAAGGAAGAAACGTGTAAAGATAATGGACGGATGGATGGACGGATGGATGGATGACTGTTTGGTAAAAATATCAGATGTTTGTTAACAAATAAAATAAAATAAAATTAGCACATTTTGCATTCTAGTCCAAACATCAACCTTTATTTATACAGGTAAATCTCATTGAGCCTCGAGGACTCATTTACAAGAGAGACCTGATTTAACAAAGAATGATGACAACAATGGACAACAGCAACAACAATAAACAGTTATAAAACGTCATACAGATTTTTTTTTTTTTTTTTACAAATTAAAATAAGATGCCAAAAAAAGTATCATTAACAGGTAGATTATAAGGTGAACGTAGAAAACTAAAAACAGGAACATGTCTGTGTTGGTTGTTCTCAGGAACATCAGATGTTTGAAGCCACTTAGAGAGGTCAAAGGTCGAGAGCATCAGATCTTTTTACAAGATATTCCAGGAAACAGGAGCGGAGTAGGAGAAGGCCCTTTTGTCTAGTTCAGTCCTCACTGAGGGAACACTGCAGGTAATGATGTCCTGAGAGCGCACGCTGTAGCTGCACTCACACAGAGACATGTAGGAGGAGATGTATGAAGGCAGCAGACCAGGAAGTGATTTAAAGATGAAGATGTACCAGTGGGAGAGTCTGTGTGAAGTTAATGGTGACCAGTTAACCATAACCAAACACACATCAATCCTGTCTCGGTTTATTCCACGTACGGTTCGTCAATCACCACGTGTGACATCAGCTCACATGGAAACTCTTGGTTAAAAAAATGCAACACCTTCTACAATCATTTATACAATTTCTCCTGTTTTTATCCATCTACTGTGGTTTTACCACCAGAACCCCAACTTTATTCACTTATCTACTAAAATGATTTTAGGTCAAAGGTAGAACGCACTCTGTTAGAAACTGAGTCAAAAGATAAATAGAATTAGTTTTATTCACCTCCAGATTTATTCTAAAACACAATCTGTTTTACAACTTCTTTTAGAAGCTGTTGAGGATCAGATTGGGTTCACTTAACGCCACTTACGGCCCTTCAAGATGTATTTTGACCATGTGTATCAGAGGTAATTATTAGGCCAATGTTTGCTCATTTTAAAATAACCACATCTGATCATAATAAACAAATTAAAGGCAGGCACATCTGTGGGCAGCAACTCTTGTCTGTGGACTTTCCATGACAGGGGTGCTCTTTTCAGTACAACACCAGCAGAAAACATGTTTCTGTGGTGCCTCACAAGCCATCCATCATCATCATCATCATCATTCAGTAGAACTGGCCGCGGTTATGAGCACAGATTTGTGCACGGCATGATCCACCAACAGAACATTCCAGAAATCCAGGCTTGTAATCTTCTGCTCCCAGTTGACTTTATTTAGTGTTTTTAACTAATGCTGCCTGGACCGGCTGCGTGCACGTCTGCCCTGAGAACAAACAGCCACGCTGGGCTCGTGTTTGGGGTTAAAACAGCACAGACCGCCTCGCTGACCTCTAGCTTTCCTGGCACTCTGCAGACACACTGCAAACACGCCGTCTGCGAACACCTGCACAAAAAATGTGAGGTAAACACCCACATGCCCAGCTTTCCACAGCCGCCTCCTTTGCAGCCGTTTGCTGAACGTTTCCTCGGTGAGAACAGCTACAAGCCGTCAGATCGTTCCAATAGCTGCTCGTATACCTAAACTGGAAGGGTGGGGCCCGTACACAGAGGAGGAGGAGGAGGAGGAGGAGGAGGAGGAGGAGGAGGTGAAGGAGTTGTGCATTTTTTACATATTTCCCATATTTTGTTGTTCTCCCACCCCTCGGGGACTTGTTAAGTGGTGACAGCTGAGGGGAGTGCTCAGGGAATGTCAAAGCAACACCCTGAGACACCGAGAGGTCACTAGAACATAAAGTCCAGACCCTGGAACAGAGGACCAAACCCAAGCGTTCCTCCTGTGACGGGGACATTTGACAGTACAGCATCTTTATACTTTGTTTCCAAGCGAGGCTGTATGGTGCTTACTAAACATCAAACTTTTTCACTTGTTTCTTTGTTATAAACCAAGATAAATGTCTGGGAAAAGCTTCTATTTAGTAAAAAATAAAATAAAATGCTTGCTGGACAAATGTCGACAACAATCTGAACAAATATTTTTGGCAGTAAAATAGATGATGCTTGATTCAAGAAGTTTTCAAAGTTAGGGTCTGGACCTCACGGGGTCTAGAGGTAATTTCATGAATTCTTTTTAAATAATTCCTACGAGGATATTTTCAATATAATTTTTGGTCAAATACAAAATAAGTAGTATGAGTTTAAGTTAAATGTGTTGTCATTTTTATGTTACAATTTTACCACTCTGTGTGTAACGTACAAATAACAAATTAACAAATTAGCATGCCCTGTGACTTATACAGCGGAGCGACTTATGTTTCTTTTCTTCCATATTTATAAACCAATCTTTGGCTGAGATCAGACAATTTCAATCATTCTGACATGGAAAATATTCAACACTACCATTTTCAGCCACTAGAGGGTGCTCGAGTCATATGGCAAGCCAAATGTCTCATAAATAGATCAAAGTGGCTATTAATGAGACACTTGGCTTGCCATACAGAGCCACCTTCGTCTCGCTCTGGAACTCCAGGAGCAAACGTCAAATCAGTTTCATGTCGTAGCGCCGCCTCGGCGAAATGCAGCCGATTTGCCCGTCAAAGTGCATTTATTAAGTAAAAGTTCAAATGAGACACACATTTACTATAAATTTAAGCAAAAAAATAATAGTTTTTAAGTGTTAATCTTGTTAAATTCTTGTTAAAGTCCTCAGGTGCACACTCCCGGAGCCGCCATTTGGCAGCCCATCGATTTTTGGCACAACACCGGCCCACGTTTCCGGGTTGTCGGCAGTGATGCATAACAAACGCGACACGTCAGCGGCGACGCATAATAGATGCAACTTTTACAGCGGTGCGACGTGTACGGCAGAAAAGGATTTGTGATTGAAAATCTTTGCGATTATTATTCTAAGGGCCAGAAGCTAAAATGGTAGAGAATATTTGCTTTATTGGGCGCTACGTTCTTAAATATTTCAGTAACAAGTTAAGCTGTAATACAAACTGTAGCTTTGTTTAAATATAGAATTATGAGATCAAAATGTTTTGTGTGAATAAAGTCACTGAGCGTCACCCTAATGTTTAATGTAGTTTAAAATGTTATACTTGAAGTTTGATAAATCATCTGTATTCACCATCCATGTGTTCAGAACAGATTTTTTAATACAGACTGATCTAAAGTTCTGCTACGTGTATCGGGATGTTCGTTTGTGTAATCTGTCGTCTCCGGCCTTCACTCGTCCTCTTCTTCTTGATTTCCGCAGGAGATGCAGAGAACCTGTCGCTCCTGCCGTCCCTGCGGCGTGCAGGAATGCGTGCTCGTCACTTCCATTCACGACTGTCCAATAACTCAGAAGTGATACTTTGCATCCTCAAACGTGCTTCACTGATGTGTGGTTTTAAACGTGCACGGTGCAACCAGCTCTACATATGGGTATAAATGAAGTTGATGGATCGTCCTGCCAGAGCGTCTTCAGCCAGCGAGACGCAATGAAAAGGAAAGCATAAAAAATAAACCTCCACGTGCGTCAACGCCTCTACAACACAGCTGCAGACTAACACGTGTCCTCGGTCTCCGTTTCCAACTTTTATTCTCATTCTGTCATCCTTCAGGGAGCCGCATGGACACTCCTTCCCTCCCTCCACGTGCACGGACAGTTTATCTGCTGCATCTTGCTCCGGCCGAGCATTCCAGTGATAAATGAGAGCGTTCTGCAGAGCCAGCAGCGCCGGAGCCAAGAGGGCTAAAGATCAGCCTGGCACGGTGTCAGCTGGGCACCGTGACGGAGTTCAGCACAAATCACCACGACATCAATAACTATAAGCCCGTCTGAAGTGTGTCAGATAACACGACTGATGAATATGATCCATAAACTCAGCAGATACACCTCAAACACAAAAATCATCTGTACGTCTGAGGCAGAGCAACGGAGAAGAACTAAAACTGTCAGCAGCGAATGATTTACACAATATTTTCAGATTCTGGGTCGTGTGCGCCGTATTGTTCGGCCGATAAGTCGCCGTTTTTTTGTATAATTTACACCGAAGCGACTTATTTATGTTTTTTTTTTTCACTTTATGAGACATATTTGGACTGATGCAACTTAAACGGCGGTGCGACGTGTATGTTGGAACATACGGCAATCAGTT